TATATATCATCGAAATAGCATTATGGCCAAAAGCAATATGCGTATTGCAGAAGCTGCCATTTTTTGATAAAGGTAAAATGTGTGACAAAATATAAAATGAAGCATTATATATACTATAGTATTAGTAGTTCTGAAGACATGCCTTGACCTACAAATTGTGTTTGACTTAAGAAAACATGTTTGTTTAGTACAGACCCTCACAAATGTCACAGAATCATGATTTTAATAGTTTTTTCAGTTTGTGATGCAAAGATGATCATTCCCACACTAATCATGAATCACATCACAATCCCAATATCTGTCAAAATAACCGCAATATGATGTTTTTACCATATCGTGCAGCCCTAGTTATTATTAGGGCCCGGCTACTGTGTTTTACAGATCTTTACAGAGTCAAGGCATGTCTTTCTGTTTGTTATGTGTCAGCGCAAAGCTTTATGTTTTCACGAAAGTGTGCAAAGACAACACTGCATGACCTGTTACAACACACAAAAGCAAACTACTTTGACATGCTTTATCAACAAAACTAACATTGTATTAGTTCTAGTTCAAGTAGCGGAAATAAGTACATTAGCACATGACCATATAAGACAGTGTGGCTTATGCTTCCAAGAAATTTTCATTAGATTAGTTTTTTATCCATTTAAAAGTGGTCAATTTATCTATAAACAGATCTTTGGGCCATATCTATCTAGAAGCCTGTGATCTGGCTGTAGTGGACACAGGGTTTAAGCTGGTGTGCCAGATCCAAACATTACATTACTTTCATTTCGTTTTACTTTCATTTTACTGATAATTTGGGCCTTATCTCTCTGAAATCGTCTTAAATTGCCAACAAAGGATATGACTTACTCCAGGTTCAGTGCAGATTTGGATCAAACAGATGGTTTGGTTTAGACCTTAGCTGAAAAATAATTGAACTGATGAACTGAAACAAATGAGAAAGTGCAGGAATCAAGGTTGTTCTTTTAACTTGTGTGCTAAGTTATATAATTTACAAGAAGAAGTATAAGTGGGTTTCAGTTAGCCAGTAGTTTTTGCAATCGGTTGTACCCTACCGGCGGGGCTCAGGGCACACTAACCCGTGGTTCATGCCGCCCGCATCTGTGTGCGTGAAGGAATGTCTTGATTTTTATCTCGCCACCCATGTTAACAGATTAAAGCAGTCACACTGCTGCAGCAATGCTTCACTCGAGAGTCAAGGCCTATTTTTTTCTGTGAGCCGCATGTCTCCCACCAAAAGAGGAAAGTGAAAAGGATCTGTTGGTAGTCACAGCCACATACTTCAGTACAGTTTAAACTTCCCTTACAAAGTAAAAGCCCTGTAGTAAACGTTTATGTAACACAACTTCACTTGTAAAAGAATTTCTGGAAGTGAACTGGTTGAAGGGCAGTATCTTTCCACGGCGCTCTCTCTCGTGTTCTCAAGCTCTCCCTCTGTCTTGGGTAAACAAACTACACGTAACTGCTTCCTGGTTAACAATCTTCACATTTACATTTAAACTACATATATATGGCACTGTAATGTTTCATGGACATTATACAAGAAAAAGTATGTGGAAACATAGGCTGGCAGCAGCGGCAGTAAACATCACACACTGCTCGGGCGGCCTATATGAACGAGCCGTCACCCAGGAGTATTGCTTCATTAGCCACCCTGTACAGGGGCATGTTGGTGGAGGACATCCGCCTGGTAGTGTCCTGGTCCTTTGTGTCCGCTTTTGTTTAGTTTTATTGCATGCTTGTAGCATGAGCTAACCATTAAGTCCCTCCAAACCCCTCAGCGCTTATAATGTGAGGGCCCTACACTATCTGTAATATTTGTTATTCTCAAACCTTTAGTCTAACCTTTTTACTACACTGTTACATAATCCTTTAGAGGTATAGGCTTGGAAATGCCTCTTGCTGCAATAAGACATAAATCACTTAGTCATTTTTTTATTTTCGAAATATTGTAGTTATGTGCGAATGAAGAAATTGCAAATGGAGACAGAGTGTGCAACACTTTCTTTCTACTCTCAAGTCTGCTTTCAGTGATCAGCACCTCACAACAACCCTTGGTATGCGTTACTCTTCTACATTTTATGTAATATAAACACATCATCTTTGCATTTGTTGACCTGGTTCTTCAGTACCTGGGAATGTAGTTGTCGGGCTCTACGACATAGGGTGTTAGAGTGGTCTAACTG